CACTCCAAACCCCTCATCCCTGGCCGTACCCCCAGCCCGGAGCACTCATCCCCTCCCGCACCCCAGCCCCCTGAGCCAGCCCGGTGAAAATGAATGAGTGAGTGAGGGTGGGGAGAGCGAGCGACAGAGGGAGGGGGAGATGGAGTGAGTGGGGATTGGGCATGGACAGGGCAAGGGAGTTTGGTTTTGTGCGAGTAGAAAGTTGGCAACCCTAAACTTAGAATGCAAATCTTTCAAAACCTATGTCTTTCTGTCTGTACTGTAAAACAACTAGCAGAGTTTTGGGTGATGTAAAATAAAACAATCAGCAAAGGCAAAAAAATTCAAGTATATGATCTCGTGGCAGACACTTTTAGCCACAAAAACCTTCACCCCAAAATGTAAGTGAAAGGACCATTTAAATCAGTACTTACCAAACTTGACAGAAAAGCATTTACATTACAGCAAATTGAGTTAACATATGGGGAAGGAGGACTGATAGTACTGGTTTGAGTCACTCATTTCTTAGGTATAATTTAGATCAGTGGTCTCCAAACTTTTTTGATTGCGCACCCCATCAGTAAAAAATTTTTGAGCACGCACCCCCTGCCGCGCCAAAGCAAAAAAAAAAAAGGCGCTCCTCCTGCCGCGCACCCCCAAGGAACCTCTTGCGCAACCCCCTTTGGAGACCACTGATTTAGATAACCCACGCAGCCACATACTAGATGTCTACATGCGCACACACATGCACACAAAATTCTACTTCATCTTCTTCGCATTCAGATACTACAGGAATGGGCAACAGCACACAACCCTAAATTTACCTCTGGAGAGCTCTGTAGTAAGTGTCCTTACATGAAAGACAACATACTTCATCTTCCAATATTACAAAAGATGCAAGATGGGAGAACTTGGAGGCTGGAGACATAAAAAGCCATGGCTGTAGGTGAAGATGTTTGCCCAGCATGTTTTAATGATTTATTGTTGATTTTTCATCTCTCAGTACTTACAATGCCTTCTTTCTCTGGGATGTCTAGTGCCAAGACATTTCTTCCCCCATCCCATTTTCACACATACTGAGAGGGATGACTATGCCAATATTTACAAGAGATGCAGCCCTTTCATGTTACTTCCACCATGGTCCAGTAGCTATGTAAGAAGTCTAGCAATAAACAAAAAAGTGGTTGTGTCTCTCATGTTATTGTTATAGTACAAGGGGTCAGGAATCATGCATGTGTTTTCTGGCACATGATCAAGTCTACAGGACTGTTATTGAAAGTTTATTTTCACTGGCTGCTTATACAAGTGACTACAGGTGGCAAAGACCAACGTGCTTGGATCAGCATTTCTGTGGTATACAAAAAGTGACCTGTAAAACTAGGAAAGTAGTAGTAAATCAAAGGGGGGGAAGGGGGAAGTCAGCTTTTGCTTAGGTATCCAAATATCATAACTGAACTTTAGAACAGGCTTCAACATTAATTGACACCTCATTTTTAAATCCAAGGATCTTTTTGAAATTCAAACAGAACCAGGGTGCTTATACTACAGCGGTGGGTGTAGTATAAAAACCTAGATATGAACAGAATAAAAATTATTCTCAAGTGTTCTAAAATTTCATCATGATTTGCATATTTTAGGATCTGCCTAATTTGGAATTAAACACAGAAATTTATAACATAACAATAGTCAAATTTGACCAGTTTTAACATTCCTCTGTATCTTTAATATCCATATAATTCTACTTCTAAGGTTATTTTTAACCAGTAACAGCAAGACCCAACAATAAGAAATCAATGTATGCACACAACTGAAGGTGGAGGGGGGCATTTGGCAAGAAAACGGCTTTCATTTTCTTGTTCTGGATTGGGTTATTACTACACAACAATCGAATAGATCCTCTCTTTTTTTTAAACTTATGAAAAGATTCCTTGATGGTGCTCTTTAAGTTGGAAATCTTGCTACCTTTGTAAGACTCGCTGTGATGACTTGAGACCACCTTCTGAAAACTTTTTCTTAAGGTATAAGTATTATGGGCTGTATACGGCCTTCAATTGGTGCATGGAACTCCCACAGAACTTGCAACACACTTTACATCAAGTATCAAAAGACATATGTATTTAAAACTGTTAAACTTAGACTGTATATTTGAAAACGAGGATGTGATTAATATTAAGGAAGCGGTTCTTCTGATGTTTCGGAATTAGATTGAGGTGAAGAGGGCGGAGTGGCTGTACACTACTCAGGTCCCACCTTCACGCCAGGAGCAGCTGGATGCTTCCTTTAAAATGATGTAGCGAAATGGTTAACAGTGTTGATCATTAAGCCGTCATCATTAGGTGTCATCAGAATTAACTGTGTTATTGAGATGAAGGGTTTAGACCACAATTCTTTTAGGAACAAATGCTCCTATTGTATCAACAAACCCCAACCCTGTGTAAAACTTGAATCAGAGTAGGAAGGACAGTTACCCTCCAGAGGACCATGATGAAAATGCTAGGTTCTCCCTTTCCATTCCTGGAGTTCCTGTCTCGTTTATCCTCCTTTCTTTCAGACTGTTCTCCTGTCCCACTCTATGCAGCGGTCAGCTACCACCCACTTTGTGTCCTAATTTTTACACCTGGCTCTCCCTCCCCTCATAATCTCTGACCCTCATTCTCAACCTACAACTTCCACAATGACATGCCATCTGACCGTCACCACTGAATTAAATCCCACTCACTAAAATGTCTACTCCCTCAACTTTGTCTTCAGAAAACACTGCTCCTCTGTTCCTTCAACATCAGTGTTCCCACACCTTGACTATGACCTCATCTCCTTCAGCACCCACTTGTCCATCCATCCAGCCTGTGCTGCTTTCAGCCCATTGCAATCGACAGCTTATTTGCCAAGTCTCACTCTCTCCTTCATTTACTCAGTTGTCTAATCCCTCCACTCCTTCTTTCCACCGAAAAATGTCCTACTAATTTGCCACATGGCTCACCACCACCACCATTCAATTTCTCGGCATCTGCGCCACTGAACACCTCTGGAGAAAGTCTCCTGAGTAACAATGGCTTCCTCCACTATAAGCTTGTTCTCTTTGACTTCCTTGTCAAACAGCACTCTACCTCCCCACATGGCATATCAATGAATCAGCTGCCTGTTCGCCACCAGATCCCCTCTTAAAATGCTCTCCCCCATCCAGGTAGAATGTTCATGGCATTTTCAAAGCGATGACTGACCGGGTCTGATGTGAC